TCAGACTGCTTCTCCTGGCATTTCAGCCACAGTCAGTATCCTAGATTCCACAGGAGGTTCATGCCCAGGTTTCAGGGATGGAGAAAACCACAGATCTGCAAATGTTTACGGTCCCTTACAACAGGCTGTTTTTCTGCAGGTTGGAGGTCTAAGCTTGCAAATGGAGCCGCTTGGGGTGGAGAGCCCCCTCACTCCCCAGGAGAGTAGCAGTGAGGAGGAGAAGCACACCAGCACGCTCCTTTCTGACCCACGGGGCAGACTCATGACCCATCAAGACAGCAATGGGAATCCCATTTTAGATTCCCTTGGTACCAGAAACAGTTGAACAGATTTCCAGCACTGTTCCACCTAATTTTCTGAGTGACACATCACTCTGAAGAGGAGTGGGAAGGGAGGCCAGGAATGCATTCACCTCGTTCTTCATCTCCCCCCTCAACCTTCTGGAGTGCCTGCAGTGTCTGGAGTGAGTGCCTGCAGTGTCTGGAGTGGAGTTCCTGCAGTGTCTGGAGTGAGTGCCTGCAGTGTCTGGAGTGGAGTTCCTGCAGTGTCTGGAGTTCCTGAAGTGTCTGGAGTGAGTGCCTGCAGTGTCTGGAGTGGAGTGCCTGCAGTGTCTGGAGTGGAGTTCCTGCAGTGTCTGGAGTGGAGCGCCTGCAGTGTCTGGAGTGGAGCGCCTGCAGTGTCTGGAGTGGAGCGCCTGCAGTGTCTGGAGTGGAGCGCCTGCAGTGTCTGGAGTGGAGCGCCTGCAGTGTCTGGAGTGGAGCGCCTGCAGTGTCTGGAGTGGAGCGCCTGCAGTGTCTGGAGTTCCTGCAGTGTCTGGAGTGAGTGCCTGCAGTGTCTGGAGTGGAGCGCCTGCAGTGTCTGGAGTGCCTGCAGTGTCTGGAGTGGAGTTCCTGCAGTGTCTGGAGTGAGTGCCTGCAGTGTCTGGAGTGGAGCGCCTGCAGTGTCTGGAGTTCCTGAAGTGTCTGGAGTGAGTGCCTGCAGTGTCTGGAGTGGAGTGCCTGCAGTGTCTGGAGTGGAGTGCCTGCAGTGTCTGGAGTGGAGCGCCTGCAGTGTCTGGAGTGGAGCGCCTGCAGTGTCTGGAGTGGAGTGCCTGCAGTGTCTGGAGTGGAGTGCCTGCAGTGTCTGGAGTGGAGTGCCTGCAGTGTCTGGAGTGGAGCGCCTGCAGTGTCTGGAGTGGAGCGCCTGCAGTGTCTGGAGTTCCTGCAGTGTCTGGAGTGAGTGCCTGCAGTGTCTGGAGTGGAGCGCCTGCAGTGTCTGGAGTGCCTGCAGTGTCTGGAGTGAGTGCCTGCAGTGTCTGGAGTGGAGCGCCTGCAGTGTCTGGAGTGGAGCGCCTGCAGTGTCTGGAGTGGAGCGCCTGCAGTGTCTGGAGTGGAGCGCCTGCAGTGTCTGGAGTGAGTGCCTGCAGTGTCTGGAGTGGAGCACCTGCAGTGTCTGGAGTGCCTGCAGTGTCTGGAGTGAGTGCCTGCAGTGTCTGGAGTGGAGCACCTGCAGTGTCTGGAGTGCCTGCAGTGTCTGGAGTGAGTGCCTGCAGTGTCTGGAGTGGAGCGCCTGCAGTGTCTGGAGTGGAGCGCCTGCAGTGTCTGGAGTTCCTGCAGTGTCTGGAGTGAGTGCCTGCAGTGTCTGGAGTGGAGCGCCTGCAGTGTCTGGAGTGAGTGCCTGCAGTGTCTGGAGTGGAGCACCTGCAGTGTCTGGAGTGCCTGCAGTGTCTGGAGTGAGTGCCTGCAGTGTCTGGAGTGGAGCGCCTGCAGTGTCTGGAGTGGAGCGCCTGCAGTGTCTGGAGTGGAGCGCCTGCAGTGTCTGGAGTTCCTGCAGTGTCTGGAGTGAGTGCCTGCAGTGTCTGGAGTGGAGTTCCTGCAGTGTCTGGAGTGCCTGCAGTGTCTGGAGTGAGTGCCTGCAGTGTCTGGAGTGGAGGGCCTGCAGTGTCTGGAGTGAGTGCCTGCAGTGTCTGGAGTGGAGGGCCTGCAGTGTCTGGAGTGAGTGCCTGCAGTGTCTGGAGTGAGTGCCTGCAGTGTCTGGAGTGGAGTGCCTGCAGTGTCTGGAGTGGAGGGCCTGCAGTGTCTGGAGTGGAGGGCCTGCAGTGTCTGGAGTTCCTGCAGTGTCTGGAGTGAGTGCCTGCAGTGTCTGGAGTGGAGGGCCTGCAGTGTCTGGAGTTCCTGCAGTGTCTGGAGTGAATGCCTGCAGTGTCTGGAGTGGAGTGCCTGCAGTGTCTGGAGTGGAGGGCCTGCAGTGTCTGGAGTGGAGTGCCTGCAGTGTCTGGAGTGGAGCGCCTGCAGTGTCTGGAGTGAGTGCCTGCAGTGTCTGGAGTGAGTGCCTGCAGTGTCTGGAGTGGAGTGCCTGCAGTGTCTGGAGTGGAGCGCCTGCAGTGTCTGGAGTGAGTGCCTGCAGTGTCTGGAGTGAATGCCTGCAGTGTCTGGAGTGGAGCGCCTGCAGTGTCTGGAGTTCCTGCAGTGTCTGGAGTGAGTGCCTGCAGTGTCTGGAGTGGAGTTCCTGCAGTGTCTGGAGTGCCTGCAGTGTCTGGAGTGAGTGCCTGCAGTGTCTGGAGTGGAGGGCCTGCAGTGTCTGGAGTGAGTGCCTGCAGTGTCTGGAGTGGAGGGCCTGCAGTGTCTGGAGTGGAGTGCCTGCAGTGTCTGGAGTGGAGGGCCTGCAGTGTCTGGAGTTCCTGCAGTGTCTGGAGTGAGTGCCTGCAGTGTCTGGAGTGAGTGCCTGCAGTGTCTGGAGTGGAGGGCCTGCAGTGTCTGGAGTGAATGCCTGCAGTGTCTGGAGTGGAGTGCCTGCAGTGTCTGGAGTGGAGGGCCTGCAGTGTCTGGAGTGGAGTGCCTGCAGTGTCTGGAGTGAGCGCCTGCAGTGTCTGGAGTGGAGTTCCTGCAGTGTCTGGAGTGGAGCGCCTGCAGTGTCTGGAGTGAGCGCCTGCAGTGTCTGGAGTGCCTGCAGTGTCTGGAGTGGAGTGCCTGCAGTGTCTGGAGTGGAATGCCTGCAGTGTCTGGAGTGGAGCGCCTGCAGTGTCTGGAGTGAGCGCCTGCAGTGTCTGGAGTGGAGTGCCTGCAGTGTCTGGAGTTTCTGCAGTGTCTGGAGTTTCTGCAGTGTCTGGAGTGGAGTGCCTGCAGTGTCTGGAGCGCCTGCCTTCTTCCTTGGCGCCTTCTCTTGCATCCTTTTGGTTCTGTCCAATGCAGACCACCAAAATCTTGCCAGGAGCAAACTTTCCTCTATTAATTATCTTGGAACAACGCATAGCTAATTGCCCTAATTACTCTCGGGCTCTTCCACACCACCCCTGGCTTTTGCTCACCAAGGGCAACTCAAGTTGGGCAAGCGGCCCGGAGGCCCGCTTAGGGAGTCCTGAGTTGGGCTAGCCCGCAGAAGCGTCCCATCTGCTGTGCCCCCAACTCCACTCTTAGGTCCAGTAGGAGTTGGCACATCTTGGGAGGATGTCTGTCAACTACAATCAGAGCATTTTCAAGTCCTCCCCTCTCCAAGTTCAAAAAGGCCAGCACTAGGGAGTTCTGGGGAGGGTAAGGCCTGTTTTTCCAATCTCTACCGCCTCTAATGAAAGCAGGCCCTATCGCCCCATTTTTAATCTTTCCATTAAAACTCGATCTCTGAAACGATTATGCTTATATTTATTTGTTTCATAATTCCTTCTCTCCCCACGATGAAAGTTCTGAAACACTGAGACTTTGTCTCTCTTGCTCACTGTCGCCTGGTCTACCAGCTTGCGATGGACACAGCAGACTGCCACATGAGCTGACACCTAGAGGAAGCCCCTTCCTTCCGCCAGCCAGCCAAGAGTGAGCCGGGAGGAGATGAAGTGAAACCGCACTGCGCTTCCAGGATCCTCTTCAGAAAGGGCTTCTGAGGGACTTCTGAGGAGAAGCTGAGGGGAGCTGTTTTGTCTCTGTACAGTTCAGTTAAGATTAAACACTTTCGCCTGATTCTGATGCCGAATCCTCACTCCTTAGACTGCATTCTTTCTCTGTAATAGATCATGCCTCCACTGGGGAGCGTTGGCAGTCTGAGGTTCCCCGCTCCACAGAGCCCAGAACTCAACCTCCACCGGTCCCCCAGTAGTTGCTGCTGGCCACTGCAAGGCCCGCGACAGACCTAGTCAGGTCGCCCAGCCCGCGTCCTTCGGGCCACTCTTCTCATTGGCCGAAGACACCCCTTCTGAGTTCTCATTGGCTGCTGCACTTTTCCTCCGCCCCCACCCCCGGCCGCGAGTGGCAGCTGCGGGGGACGCTGCACTAGGTCCCCAAGCTGGAGTCCAGGCTCGGCTCTGCGCGGCCAGGGGCGAGGAGCGCACTGAGAAATCTACTTTCTCATGAGCCCGAGCCCGGCAAATGGGCAAGTGAGGAAGGAGAGCAGGGACATGGACTGCTATCTGCGTCGCCTCAAACAGGAGCTGGTAAGAGCGGAGCAGAAGCCGGGGGACAGGGAGGGCTGCTCCACCCAGACCTAGGTACCTGGCCTCGGTACCGAGCTCCGTGCACCAGAGAGCGCGGAGACGAGAGGAAAGAAGATGCCAGCTGGTAGGTAGAGGCTATAGGGCCGTCGCTCAGAGGCAAGAAACTTTGGCAAAGATTCTGATGAGATATGGGCAAGTAACAGGGAGTCAGAACAGCCAGCCAGGCTGAAATGTGACAGAACAGCCGAAGAAGAAAAGAGGGGCACACCCAGAGAGGACAGGCACACATATGGAGTAAGGCTCAAGTGCCCAGAGTCGCAGGAGCGACAGGCAAGCAGCAGGCTGGCGCTCGGGTGCTGGACTCTTGCAGCGCGCAGACAGATCCCTGTCCTGGGCAAGAGGTCAGGCTGGACTGCTCGCTCGTGGGGAGTTGGCACCGCCCGGGGCCCCCAGCTCTGCTGGGCTTGGCAGAGCTGGCGCGGCTGCGGGGGCAGGCTTGGCCGGCTGTCTGCCCGGGCTTGTCTGCCAGCAGGGAGGGGGGTGGCAGCTGTAATGACGGGGAGGAGGGGTGCTGCCTGGCAGATCGCGAGCGGGAGTTGTGGAGGCCCAGCCAGATGTCAGGTCTGGGCTTGGGGAGTGTGTTGGGAGTGTGCGTGCGGGGCCCCGGGGTGCTGAGGGTGAGTATGCTACCCTGAGGAGTGGGAGTGAATCACCGAAGAGGGAGAAATGACTGCTGAGGCTGTCCTGCACGCACACTCTCTCTCTCTGCCACCACCCTCACCTCTAGTGGTCCTTTACCACCAGGATTCATGCAGACAGGTAGGCACATACATGCCTCTTTTCTCTGCTCCGCCCCCTCCCTTCTCCTAGACTCCCTTAGCTTCCTCCTCTCTCTCCACCTCTCTGTATCTCTCATTTTATCTCCATGGCAGTGGGCTCCCCTACCTCATTTTGCTACCCTCTTCTTTCTTCTTTTCAGAGCCAGGTCACCAGGCGTCCAACAGCATACCTGGATCCAGAGAGTGCCCAGCTCAGGCCTCTTAAGATCCCAGGATAGCCTTTCCCCTCCTGTCTGTAGAGGCTCAGCAGTGTGTTAGGGGCAGGCTTTGCTGGTGGCAGGGTAGGGGAAGGGGGCTGACGTAGCAGGTGTTCTCATTGATGCTCCCTGACCAAGGTGCCCAGGCAGTAGTCCTGTCTGTCCCAGTCCATGGGTTCCTGTTCACGCCTTTAGTTCCTCCTCCCGAACCCTGGCTGTGATGGCACTCAATGTGAAAGTTACTGCCTCGGAGAGCCAAAGTGTCCACTGATGCTCTTCTGAACCTGTACTTCTCAGCTTTTATGTGCAGGCCATGCTAGTTCAGGATAGTGGCTCTGGCCCATAAATATCCCATGCTCATGTTCTCTCTTCACGTGGCCAGTACCAGAAAGAAAGACCAAGATCATTCCAGACAATGGCTGAGGATCAAAGCCCATGTTGAGAAAAGAATCTAATCGGATCCTCTTTGTGCCTGGAACCTGGGACCACGCCACCTACATCAGGCTGAGCATCTATAGAGGGTTTGTGGGTGTTCCTGGCATGGGAATGAATTTTTCTAAATCTTACTGATTTGCATTTTTTACATCACTCTAGGTGGGAGGTGGTGAGGGGAGGAAGAAGACAGTCTGTGGATGTCAAGAGAATAAAAAAAGAGAGAAAGAATGAAGGAGAAATCTGTACGTAGCTGAGCTCCCAGATTTTGATCTGCAAACCCTCCACCAAGGCCTTGAGCCCCTGAGCCTGGGAGAAGGAAAGAGAAAGGCTAAAGTCGTCCTGCTCCCCATCAGCTTTCATTTGGCCTTTTGTCTGAGCATCTCCAGCCTTTGACTGTCTTGGGGAGCAAGCCAACTGCCTGGCCCAGGGCCCAGAATGACACTAGATGGGGGAGTTCTTCACCCCCTGGTACTCCCTCCCCAGCGCCAGCTTACTGAAGAAGAGTCCTAGCCGGTGATAGGCAGAGCTGTTGAGCCTCATTCCCTCCTGGACACCTTGCCCCTGTGTTTAAGTAGCAAGGTGCAATCTCTGTGCCTGGGTACTGAGCAGTTGGAGCAAAGAGGAAAGCCAAGTGCCGTTAACCTGGGTCCACCCTGAGCTGCCTTCTCCTAGGGATGGTAGGGATTGAATCCCTTGCCTATGGCAGGGATAGGGAACTTCTTTATACCCAAGGGCTGTGGTGAAGTAAGCATTACACACAGGCAGTTTATGCTGTGAATGGGGGGCTTTTGCCCTGCAGTTGGTTCACTCCAGACATGATCACCACGCAAAAGCACTGTACATTTCCAGGTTCTTGTCCAGGAACACCTCATGTAATTCTGATTCTGATTAACATCTACATTTGTTTATTTCATGAAATTCCCTTCAAGAACATCCTGTGGATACGTTGGGATAAGCCTGTTGCAGAAGGCAACCTTAACAGGTTGTGAAATTGTCTTTGTTCAGGGTGTTCCCCATTCTTATCCAGTCCTGTCCTTAGCACCAAAATTCAGCCAAGAAATGTTGTTCCTGAAATACACCATATCCAAAGCTTCAAGTTTCCTGAAGCTAAAAACTTGCATTGTAAAAATGCAGGAGGCTGAGAGTTCAGAGACCTGGGCACAATTAAGTTGGTAGCTAGAGTACTGGCCCTTTCTCCTTGCCTGGAAGGGGAGGAGAGTCGAGTTTCAGGAATGAAACCAGGCTGAAAAAGTAGCAGCAGCTGACATACTTCTTAGTGGGGGGAGTGCTACAACATCCAGCCCCTCCCTTTCCCTCCAGCTGCCGAAGCTGGGCCTGCCCGAACACAGGCCTTGGGACCAGCTGTTCCTTACACACAGCTCCCTGTGAGGTTCCAACAAATGTATAGACACAGACACACAGGATGCCCCCAGACTAGTTCTTGTGAGTTCAGGTTGATTCTGAATAAACCGAATGCATAAAATTGGAGTGACCAGAGCTCCCAAGGTTCAGCCAGGCTGGGGAGGCCTTCTGGAGGAGGGGATATCATAGGAGGGCATTATGAAATGCCAGTCCTAGTTGAGCCCTGGGGAAGCAACCAAGGGACTTCTCTTTCGCAGGCTAGGGAAAGTCCTTTTAGGGAACTTGTATTCCCAGAAGGCAATTCTTTAGTCACTAGTGGCTACAAGTTCTGGATGCCCTAGCATATGACTAAGGAATAAGGCCTAAAGACAAAATAAGGAGAAAAAGGAGCGTGGGAAAGTTATGATTGGAACTTTCAAGTCTTGAGCAAAACAGCAAATTTCTTAAGAACAAAAAGAAGCTTCTGCAGAAACATCTCATTCTGTGTGTAAAGCCCACCCCCTTTTTCTCCCCAGGGGAAGAAAGAGAGCTTCTGGGTCAGTTAGTCTGGGGTCAGCTGAGACATATGATTCAGGGCAGGTCAACTTGAACCCAGACCTTGGCCCTGTCTGACTCTGGCATATCGGTTACTTTCCCCATCTTTAGAATGGGTTGTTAAAAGTACCCCTTCATGTAGCTACTGTGAAGATTAAATGGCAGTATAAGTAAAATCTGGCCTTGAACTTGAGAGTCTCCTGCTCTTAGACTTCCAAGGACAGGACTAAGGTGTATGCAACTGGACCCAGTCTTTGACATAAGGATCAGACAGGTTTGTTGAGTTCATACTGGTTTGAGGCACCAACCAGACACCAGTACTGTGGATACAAATAGAATCAGACCCAGATGTTGTCTTCATGGAAGGTATAGCCATAGTTTAATAAAAAGTTAACATATATTGATACTAACTTACAATGCCAGGGCTGGTGTTGTGACTAAGTATAAAGCACTTGCCTGGCATGTGTAACATCCTGTGTTCAATCTTCAGTACTGGAAAATTAATATAACAAATTCATAACACTGTCCAACCCAGCAAGTGGTATTTTTACTATTGCCTTCTCTCTCTCTCTCTCTCTCTCTCTCTCTCTCTCTCTCTCTCTCTCTCTCTCTCTCTCACACACACACACACACACACACACACTCTCTCTCTCTCACACACACTCTCTCTCACACACACACTCTGTCTCTCTCACACACACTCTCACACACACACTCTGTCTCTCTCTCTCACACACTCTCACACACACACTCTCTCACACACACTCTCTCTCACACACATACACTCTGTCTCTCTCACACACACTCTCACACACACTCTCTCACACACACTCTCTCACACACACACTCTCTCTCACACACACACACTCTGTCTCTCTCACACACTCTCTCACACACACTCTCTCTCACACACACTCTCTCTCACACACACACTCTCTCTCACACACTCTCTCACACACACACTCTCTCACACACACTCTCTCTCACACACACTCTGTCTCTCTCACACACGCTCTCACACACACACTCTCTCTCTCACACACACTCTCTCTCACACACACACTCTCTCTCACACACACACTCTCTCTCACACACTCTCTCACACACACACTCTCTCACACACACTCTCACACACACACTCACACACACTCTCATACACACACACTCTGTCTCTCTCACACACACTCTCACACACACACTCTCTCACACACACTCTCTCTCACACACACACACTCTGTCTCTCTCACACACACTCTCACACACACATATCTCTCTGTCTCTGTCTGTGTGTGTGTGCACACGCACATGCACTAAGTTTTGAAACAACATCTCACTAAACTAAACTTACCTAAACTGACAGAAATTTCATGTGTGAGCCATTGTATCCAGCTTTATTCTCATTTATAAACATGAAACTAGAGATTGGGTGCCTTGGCCAAGGTCATAGAGATGATAAGCAGTGGATGTTTGAAGACAATAGACTATATGCAGGGAAATAGTGGGTGACAAATTGAAATGGAAGCCTTGAGTGCCATGGCAAAGACTGGCATTTTCCCCTGAGCACTGGAGAGGAGCATGGTCAGATATATACATATATACATATATGTATATGTATATATATATATATATATGGTCAGAGATGCACCCTGATACCTACGATGTCATATGGGAGGGGAGGGAGCAAATGGGGAAGGAACATGAATTAGAAGAGGCGGGGCAAGAGAGTATGGTGATTTGAACTAGGAAGGAGAAAAGCAGGGAGCTTCTTCAGGTTCCCTAGTTGACTGCAAGTGAGAGGGGCTACAGTTGTCAGAGAGAAGAGGGTCATCTAAGGCTGAGAGGCGGCCTTCCAGATCAGGCAGTATGGGAACTCTCTCTCTCCCAATCTGCCTCTTGCCTGACCATGTGACCCGCAGGAGATGGTTCACTTGGGAAAGTAGGCTCATCATTTCTCACCCTTCACTTCCTGCTCTCTTTATCTTCCTCCCTCCTCTGCAGCTCTTGGCAGAGTTTCCATGTTACCTTCCTGTTGAAAGTTCTAGCCAAGAGTCAAGAAGGTCCCTATTCACTGCGCTGCAGAGTGGGTCACTTGGCAAAAGTGGGGCTTTTCCCATTTCCGGCCCAGAGCCTCCTTCTAGCTTCCCCAGGGGTTGAAAGGAACTGTGTGGGGATTTTGTGAGTAATGGGGTGGGGAAGGGAGGCAGGGCACACTGCCAAGTCCATGGGCAAAGCTGAGCCTGTGTCAAAGGATTCCGGCTGAGCTCCGAGAGGGCGTGAGATGGATGGAAGGAGGGCACAGCTGCGGGATCAGTCAGGGGCCCAAGGCAGGACTTGGGAAGGGAGCCGAGGATGTTGGCATCTCCTTCCAGCTCTTCTCCTCCCACACTACAAAGGGCCCAGCCAGTGCCGATGGGAAGATCTGTCCATAGTCGGCTGACCCCAAACTCCCTCC